ACTCACTGCCCCTCCCTGGTTTACCAATACTGAATTTTCTAGTTTCTGGTGAAACCACCACAGTTTCTTTTATAAATACCAAAAAGTAAAAAAAAAAAAAAAAAAAAAAGACAGAAAAAAACATCCATTCCCAAACATTTTCTTATACATTTACTTATATTTTATAATAACAAAATGCATGTACAAACATAACCGCAAAGCCGCTGCCTCACCTCTTGAATAGGTCGAGGTAGCAGCGTTGCGGTGACCCTGCAGTACAAACATGTGGACACCTGTGCTGCCATCAGGCCTGCCAACACAGATTCAGTCACTAACTTTAGCTAATATGAGGAAATGGGACATTTTCTATCAGCTGTTTGGTTTGGGAGTTGCTGATGTCGGTCTACATTGTGCGGTAAAACAAAACCACTTTTTTAAGAGCACTAGAGCAACAAAGGTTTTAAATAAAGAGCTTGTAGTGTTTCTGAACTCCTCCCAAATCTCAACCTCCACTGAAAGGCTGTAAAGTCATGTTCTTCACAGCTTTGTTAATCCTGCTTATCTAACATAAAGAACTCGTTTTATAGTTGAACGTGAATTTTAATACGACGTGAGTCCTGAGAATCCATAATGACGACAAGTCTCCAGCCATTTATCCAACTCCCTCCTATCTTCCTTCCAGTCCTTTGTCTCTGGCGACGACAGCCTCATCGAACTTGATCATGAGCGTGGTGCCCTTGTGCCAGTGGACGGTGACCTTGGCGGGGAAGCCGCTGTGGGTGAGAATGGCCTCTATGATCCCTCCCGTGAAGGCCGCGCAGTTTAAGGTGCTGTTCTCCTTGGGAACAGAGATGTAGGTGTTGACGAGGGGCTCCTTCTCTATGATGTAGTAAGTCTTGTCATCGTCGTTGGCTTGCTCAAGCTTGTCTGCCTCCTTACCAAAGAGTGCTCTCCACACAGATACCTGAGAAGGACAAAGAAAATGACAGAGGATGACAGGGGATGCACAAAACATGTGCAATCCAAAAAAATTTACTTTATTTGCTTTGGGAGAAAGTGTGCAAAGTGACAGGCAATGACTTTTTTCTGCAGCTAAAGGTAGAGGCATAACAAAGATAACACAACTGAGATAAAAATTTAAAAGAAAATGGCAAAATTAGTCATTTAAATAGTGCCAAGATCTATTTTACCTTTGTTGATGCAAAAACTAATGTAATTTCCATGTGTCTGTTACGCAACATGGGACAGACAGTGATGAACAGTTTTAATCTTTCAGAGCTCTAGCATGCAGTCATCTCATCAGCAATTAAAATTCAGCACTGAGCCTGAACTAAGCAGATTAATGAATATATTTACATATGAACTCAAATGATCACCTGGTGTAACATTATGATATCCCTCATCTCAGACTGGAGTTTTAGGTTTTGCTGAATCAGCAAACACAAAGACAGCCTGGCTTTGTCAAACATGGTAAATGGCCTGTATTTGTATAGCGCTTTACTAGTCGCTATGGACCCCAAAGTGCTTTACACTACATTCAGTCATTCGCCCATTCACACACATGCTTCCTACTAAACCCCTCTAGAATCTGTAAATCAGGGCTAAAGCCATCATGGCTTGCTTGAGCTCTCCCTTTACATGAGTCACTTCTTACAAATGACTTTTCCTACTGTAGGTTTTTTATGACCACAGCACTGCTGATTATGGATGGGTACCGGTTCTGACACGAGCGGTAGTAACCAGACCGAAAAGCAGCGCACATTTCAGTGCTTT